AGGGGCTGGCCTTTTCTCCAGGGCTGTGGGAGGACAGGCCGTCTGCGCGGTGCCCCCACTGGAGTCGGTGAGGGGCTCAGGTCGCTTCTCTTTCCTATCAAGGGCATGAGGAGCTGGCTTATAAACTGGACTAGGCCGGCAGACACAGAGGCCCCGGGGAACGTGTTAACCCTAAAGACCCCCAGGCCCCGCAGGCCCCTGCCGCCTCTGGATTCTGACCCAGCAGGTCTGGGTGCAACTGGGAACCCTGTGATCCTATTGTTCAGGCGGAGTTCACCCCGCGAGCCCACCCGACATGGAAGCGAGGAGGAACAGCCACGCAGGGGCTCCAGCTGGTCAGCCGCCAGCCCAGGGAGCTGCCCACCGGGCCTGTCCGTCAGAGCGGCCTGCCGCTTCCTCACTTTGTGGGCAGAGAAGCTGGTGCCCAAAGAGAGAAAGGGGCTGGTGGAGGTCTCCCACAAATCTACCCCAGGGCTGGGAGGAGGACCCCAGCAGGCCCTGGGCCTCCGGGGGAGACCCTGTGGATGCCGCAGGGACGTGCCACCCCTGTCCCCAGGCCCCAGCGCCCACCCTGGTTGGCCGCCCACCGTGGTCCTCTCACCCATATGCCCACGGCCACGTTCAGGGCAAAATACACGGTGATGACGATGATGTCCGCCACGCTAAGCTGCGGCCCGGACGCGTGGGAGTGGGTGGTGGAGTTGTTTGCTATCATCCTGCAGCAGCCACCAGCACAGAGTGGAGGGACCGAGGGCCGGAAAGGGCCTCCTGGCAGGCAATAAATTGATCATTAAACCGAGCAGGCCCGTGGCATCCCCAGCCCACTGTATGGCCGCCTGCTGGGAAACTGCTTCAAAGTGCAGCTCCCTCTCCCCCCCGCCCCCCCCCGCCCCACCGTGTGGGGAGCAAATCCAGAGGCAGGAGCTGGGGGAACTGGGGGAGGGGGACGGGAGCCTCCTGGAGCTCGGAGGAGGTTTGGGGAAAATAAAAGGAGTTTAGCGGATCCAAAGGCAATCAGGATGGTCCCAGAAAGAAAGGGCTCAGTCACCTAACAGGTGGCCCAATCTACATTTAATCTGTAGGAGCAGCGTGGGAGGTTGGGGACAGAGGCCTCACCTCTGGGGACACCACTGTGATGGGCAGCGGAGCCCTCCTGCAGCCGTTGGGCTGTGAACGGACCAAGAGCCACTTGGGATGGTAAGTCCTGCATTATGTGGTTTATTCCAGCCACGACAGTCCTGGCCCCAGAGCGTGCCCCTGTCGGACAATAAAGGCCTGTCATCAACATTTCTGCCCTCTTTTTCTAGACCAGTGAAACAGGCCTGAGCCCCACCACCTGACCATTCATTTGGGTCCCTGTGGGTCTGGCAGCACCACAGAGGGACTGATATCTGGCAAGAGCCTGTGAGGGGCCGGGGGATGTGCTTGGTTGTTCTACACGCTATCCAGTGTCATGCTCGGAGCAGCCGCTCTGAGGAGGTGGTGTCACATCACCGTCAAGGGACGGAGGCCGGGAGGCTGAGCCCTCTGTCCTTTGACAGCCACTTCAGGGGCGAGGCTGGCATTTAGCCCCAGATCTGACCCCTGTCCTCCCCGTTCCTGGCAGTGATGGTTCTGTTTCCACCGGATTCCGTGGAGTCCTTCCTGCTGGGGTGCTTGCTCACTAACTAAATCAGTGTGCACAGCCAGGCGGGCGTTGCAGCGCTGCGGTCCGTGGAGTTGCAAAGCATTTGAAGTTTAACTGACACACCGCCCTTTCAGAAGTGTTAATGAGTGAGCGCCTGCCACTGAGAACACGCTGGCCTGCAAACCCAACCGTGTCTACTGCTCAGTAACCTGAGACGGAGGGTTTAAAGATTAATCCTCTCACACTCAGGACTAGATAGAGGAGAGGAAAGTTAAGTCGCTGCTTGTAGTAAACCCAGGCGAGCTCTGACGGCCCCCCACCCGCCAAATCTCCTCGCCTTCCACCAGCGAGACTCTCAGATGGTGTTCACTCTCCAAGCCACCGTGAGACACGTAGCATAAATCAGAGGCTCACTTTGTACCAGACAGGGGGCCCACTGGATAAGGTCCAGATTTACTAATCCTGTCTCCCAAAGACAAAGTATTGGAGAAAATAGTGTTTGGTCCTCTCCCTCTGCCTGGGTCTCAGAAAGAAATAAACCCTTGGAGACACACCCGCCACTGCTGGTCAGAAGTCCTGGGAAAAGACGCCGCGAGAGGCCAGCCCTGCCCTGACGGACGGAGACGGGCAGAGGACATGAGGGAGAATGCAATTTGCTTTTGTTTTAATTAATAGATTTTATTTTTTCAGCTGTTTAGGTTTTTGGAAAATTAAGCAAAAAGGACAGAGTTCCTCTATACTCCCTCACACCCCCCAACCTGGTTCCCCCCATCCCCTCCTGCAGCAGTGGGGCGTTTGTTGCAATGAGGGACCACACAGACACATCCCTGTCACCGAGAGGCCGAGGTTCACGTCAGGGCTCGCTTTGCGCGTTGTACCTTCTGTGGGTCTGACACACAGCTGTGCCTCGCTTTATCGCGCTTCGCGCATACATGTTTTTTAGGAACTAAAAGTTTGTGGCAACCCCGCGTTGAGCAAGTCTATCAGCACCATTTTGCCAACAGAATTTGCTCACTTGTGTCTGTGTCACATTTTGGTAACTCTTGCAATATTTCAAACTTTTTTCACTATATTCACTATATTCAACTTTTTTCACATATATTTCACTATATATTCACGATATTTGTTACAGCCATTGTGATCTGTGATCTTTGATGTTACTATTGTAACTATTTGGGGAGCCATGAACCACGCCCACATAAGAGGAGGAACTTAATTAATAAATGCTGTGTGTCTTCTGACTGCTTAACCCCCAGCCGTCCCCTCGTCTCCTCCTCCTCCTCGGGCCTCCCTATTCCAGAGATACAGCAACACCGAAATCAGGCCAGTCAACGACTCTACAATGTCCCCTAAAGGTTCAAGTGAAAAGAAGAACCGCACGTGTCTCACGCCAAATCAACAGCTAGAAATGATTAAGCGTGGGGAGGCGTGGACTCAGTAACAAAATGGAGCGACATGCATCAGGGCTTCTAAAGTGGAGCTGCGAGGCCATCGAGGAAGGGAGGCTTGCGCACGTCCACCACGTCTCTGCCCAGATGGAATGTGACTTTTTGAACTGTGCCTTCCTCTTGTTATCTTGACCTTCCTTTAAGAAGAGAAAAAATCGCTTACTCCTATAGAAAAATGCTTACTCCCATACATAACAACGCTTTTGCCTTGGACAAGGTCTTAGGAACCAATCACGCGTAGCCGGGGGCTAACAGCTGCCCGCGCCAATCACTCATCTTGCAAAACAACCTGAGGGAGTCCTCTCTTTTGTCTTTTTTAACCCTTGCCTTGTCTTCTCCGGAGCACATTTTGGGTTTTTGAATAAAGTGCGATTCTAATTGCCCAGAGAAATATCTGTTGCTTAAATTGCTGTGATTTTTCCTCAGTCGACAGAAGAAAGCATGTCAAAAGCCGAGACAGGCCGAAAGCTGGGCCTCCTGTGCCAAACAGTTGGCCAAGTTGTGAGTGAGAAGGAAAAGTTCTTGAAGGAAATTAAAAGTGCTACTCCGGTGAACACACGAATGACAAGAAAGCGAAGCAGGCTCATTGCTGACGCAGAGACAGTTTTAGTGACGCGTCCGTGTGGGTCTGTCATTGTAACGAATGCCCCACTCTGCTGCAGGAGGTGACAGTGGGGGCTACAGGACCAACCCAGCCATGACCGTCCCTTAAGCCAAAGCCTGATCCAGAGCAAGGCCCTAACTCTCTTCAACTCTGTGAAGGCTGAGAGAGGGGAGGAAGCTGCAGAAGAGAAGTCTGAAGCCAGCAGAGGTTGGTTTGTGAGGTTTAAGGAAGAAACCATCTCCATAACACAAAGTGCCAGGAGGAGCAGCAAGTCCTGATGTAGAAGCTGCAGCCAGTTCTCCAGAAGATCTGGCTGAGATAAATCATGAAGATGGCTACACTAAACAAAGGTTTTCACTGTAGATGAAACAGTCTTCTATTGGAAGACGAAGCCATCCAGGACTTCCATATCTAGAGAGGAGAAGTCAAAGCCTGGCTTCAAAGCTTCAAAAGACAGGCTGACTCTCTTGTTAGGGGCTCATGCAGCTGGTGACTTTAAGTTGAAGTCAATGCTCATTTCCCATCCGGAAAATCCTAGGGCCCTTAAGATTTGTGCTAAATCTACTCTGCCTGTGCTCTGTAAATGGAACAACAAAGCTTGGATGACCGCACATCTGTTTGCAACTTGCTTTACTGAATATTTTAAGCCCACAGCTGAGACCTACTGCTCAGAAAAAATGATTCCTTTCAAAATATTACTGCTCGTTGACAATGCACCTGGTCACCCAAGAGCTCTGATGGAGACGCACGATGAGATGGATGTTGTTTTCGTGCTGCTAACACAACATCCACTCTGCAGCCCATGGATCAAGGAGTAATTTCAACTTTCAAGTCTTATTACTTAAGAAATACATTTCGTAAGGCTATAGCTGCCATAGCCAGTAATTCCTCTGATGGATCTGGGCAAATAAATCCAAAACCTTCTGGAAAGGATTCACCATTCTAAATGCCCTTAAGAACATTTGTGATTCATGGGAAGAGGTCAAAATATCAACCTTAACAGGAGTTTGGAAGAAGTTGACTCAACCCCTCGTGGATGACTTTGAGGGTTCAAGCCTTCAGAGGAGGAAGTAACTGCAGATGTGGTGGAAACAGCAAGAGAACTAGAATTAGAAGTGCAGCCTGAAGACGTGACTGGATTGCTGCGATCTCACGATAAAACTATAATGGATGAGAAGCTGCTTCTTATGGATGAGCAAAGAAAGTGGTTTCCTGAGATGGCATCTACTCCTGGTGAAGATGCTGTGAAGATAGTTGAGATGACAACAAAGGATTTAGAATATGACATAAACTTCGTTGATGAAGCAGGGGCAGGGTTTGAGAGGACTGACTCGATTTTGAAAGAAGTTCTACTGTGGGTAAAATGCTATCAAACAGCATCACATGCTACAGAGAAATCGTTCATGAAAGGAGAAGTCAATCGGTGTGGCAGACTTCATTGTTGTCTATTTTAGGAAATTTCCACAGCCACCCCAGCCTTCAGCAGCCACCACCCTGATCAGTCAGCAGCCATCAATATCAAGGCAAGATCCTCCGCCAGCAAAAAGATTACAGCTCGCTGAAGGCTAGGATGATGGTTAGTATTTTCTAGCAATAAAGTATTTTTAAATTAAGGTATGTACATTGTTCTTTTAGACACAATTCTATTGCACACTCAATAGACTACAGAATAGTATAAACATAAGTTACACTCACTGGGAAATCAAAAAATGTGTGTGACTTGCTTTATCGCTATATTTGCTCTAGTGCCGTGGTTTGGAACCAAATTTGCAATATCTCCAAGACAGGCCTGTGTTTTTTCTTCCCCTTCTCTCTCTTCATTTTCTGGGACTCCTGTCATGCATGTTGGTAAACTTGATGTTATTCTACAGGTCTCTTTAGCTGTCTTCATATTTCTTCATTCTTTTATCCCCCATTTTTTTATTGTAAAATACACATAATTTTTTTACTGTCTTTATTTTTAAGTGTACAGTACAGTGGTATTAATGATGTTAATAATAGGGGCCGGCCCCGTGGCCGAGTGGTTAAGTCTGCACGCTCCACGTTGGTGGCCCAGGTTTCGCTGGTTCGGATCCTGGGTGCATACCTAGCGCCACTCATCCAGCCACGCGGAGGCGGCGTCCCACACAGAACCAGAATGACCTACAGCGAGAATATGCAACTATGTACTGGGGGCTTTGGGGAGGAAAACAAATTAATGTTAGTAATAATAATAATAATAACGTTATGCAGCCGTCTATCCAACTCCATATGTCTTCTCATCCTGTAAAACAAACTCTATACACATTAAACAATAACTCCGTCTTCTCCCCTCTCACCAACCTTTGGCAACTACCGTTACTTTCTATCTATGATTTTGACTAATCTAAGCACTTCGTATACGTAGAATCAGATGGTATTTCTCTTTTGGAGATTGGCTTATTTCACTTAGCATAATGTCCTCAAGCTTCATCCATGCTGTAGCATATGACAGAATTTCCTTCCTTTATAAGTTGAATAATACCCCATTGTGTATGAATGCCACATTTTGCTTATGCATTGATGGCCACCAGGGTTGCTTCCACATTTTAGCTGTGACGAATAATGCTGCTATGAACATATTTGTACGAATATCTGCTTGATACACTGCTTTCAGTTCTTTTTGGTATATACTCAGAAGTGGAATTGCTGGGTCATATGGTAATCCTGTTTTTAATTTTTTGAGGAATCTCCACACTATTTTCCACAGCAGCTGTGCCATTTTACATTCCAACCAATGGTGCTCAAGGGGTCCAGTCTCTCCACATGCTTACCAAGACTTGTTATTTTCTGGGCATTAAAAAAAATTTTTTTTTATGGCAGCCATTCTAATGGGTGTGAAGTGGTAGCTCATTGTAGTTTTGATTTACATTTTCCTAATGATTAGTGGTATTGAGCATCTTTTCATGTGCTTATTGGCCGTTTGTATAACTTCTTTGGATAAATGCCTCTTCAAGTCCTTTGCCCATTTCTGAATTGGGTTGTTTGAATTTTTTGTTGTTGAGTTTTCTATATGTTCTGGATATTATCCCTTTATATTTATTTGAAGATATATAATATAATGGATATACATTATATCCACAATATATATATGATTTGCAAATATTTTCTCTCATTCTGTGGGTTGCCTTTTACTCTTGTTGATATTGCCTTTTGATGTGCAGAATTTTTAATTTTCAGTGAGTCCAATTTATCTATTTTTTTGTTGTTGTTACCTGTGCCTTTGGTGTCATATGTAAGAAATCATTGCCATTGTGAAGATTTTGCCCTGTTTTCCTCTAAAACTTTACTAGTTACTATAATTTCTTCTGAAAGTTTTAGGTCTTTCATTCAGGATTTTGATCCATTTTGAGTTGATTTTTGTATATGGCGTTAGGTAAGAATCCACCTTTATTCTTTCACATGTGTGTCTCCAGTTTTCCCAGCACCGTTTGTTAAAAAGACTGTTTTCCCTACTGAATGGTCTCGGCACCCTTGCCAAAAATCATTTGACCATGTATACAAGGTCTATTTCTCGGTTCTCTATTCTATTTTTGTGTGTGTGTGAGGAAGATTGGCACTGAGCTAACATTTCTTGCCAATCTTCCTCTTTTTTTTTCTCCCTGAAGTCCCATTACATAGTTGTATATCCTAGTTGTAAGTCATTCTAGTTCTTCTATGTGGGACGCCACCACAGCATGGCTTGCTGAGTGGTGTGTAGGTCTGTGCCCAGGATCTGAACCAGCAAACCCCAGGCCACCAAAGCAGAGTGCATGAACTTAACCACTTAGCCATGGGGCTGGCCTCTCTCTATCCTGTTAAATTGATCGATGTCTGTGTTTACGCCAGTACCACACTGTCACTGGAGCTTTGTAGTAAGTTTTGAAATTAGGAGGTGTGTCTTTCAGCTTTGTTCTTTTTCAAGATTGTTTTGTCTATTCAGGGTCCCTTGAGATTCTATATGAATTTTAGGATGCGTTTTCCTATTTCTGCAAAAAATCTCCTTGGGATTTTGGTGGAGATTGCATTGAATCTGTAGATCTCTTTGAGTAGTATTGATATTTTAACAATATTAATTCTTCCAATCCATGAACAAGGGATGTGTTCTCATTTATTCATGTCTTCTCTATTTTCTTTCAGTAACGTTTTGTAGTTTTCATCGTACGTCTTTCACCTCCTGAGTTAAAGTTAATTCCTAAGTATTTTATTATTTTTCATGCTATTGTAAATGGAATGTTTTTCCTAATTTCCTTTTCAGATTGTTTATTGTTAGTGTATAGAAATGCAGCTGATTTTTGTGTGTTGACTTTGTATCCTATTTTCCTAAATTCGTTTAATAGTTCTAAAGTTTTTTTTAATCTTTAGGGTTTTCTACATAGAATATCATATCACCTGCAAACAGAGAGACTTTTACTTCTTTCCTTTTCAATGTGGGTGCCTTTTCTTTCCTTCCCTCCTTTCCCTCCCTCCCCCCCCCCCTCTTTTTTTTCTTAACCTAACTTCTCTGGCTAGTTCTCCCAGTACTGTTTTTTTGGTGGTTTTTTTTTCTGTTGAGGTAACAGTGGTTTACAACATTATATAAATTTCGGGTGTACATTATATTTCAGTTTCTGTGTAGATTATACAATTTTCACCACCCTAAGACTAATGACCATCCACCACCACACACATGTGCATAATCCCCCCCTCCCCCCTCCCCCCTTCCCCTCGGGTAACCACCAATCCTATCTCTGTCTCTGTGTGTTTGTTTGTCATTGTTTTTATCTTCTATTTATGAGTGAGACCGTACGGTGTTTGACTTTCTCCCTCTGATTTATTTCACTCAGCATAATACCCTCAAGGTCTATCCATGTTGTCACAAATGGCCAGATTTCATCATTTCTTATGGCTGAGTAGTATTCCATTGTATATAAATACCACATCTTCTTTACCTCTTGATGGGCACCTAGGTTGCTTCCAAGTCTTGGCTATTGTGAATAATGCTGCAGTGAACATAGGGGTGCATATATCTTTATGCATTCGTGTTTTCATGTTCTTTGCATAAATGCTCAGCAGTGGAATAGCTGGATCATATGGTGTTCTATTTTCAATTTCTTGAGGAATCTTCATACTGTTTTCATAGTGGCTGCATCAGTTTGCATTCCCACCAGCAGTGCATGAGGGTTCCCTTCTCTCCACATCTTCTCAAACACTTCTTATTTCTTGTCTTATTAATTATAGCCATTCTGACGGGCATGAGGTGATATCTCATTGTAGTTTTGATTTGCATTTCCCTAATAGTTAGTGATGTTGAACATTTTTTCATGTACCTGTTGGCCATCTGTATATCTTCTTTGGAAAAATATCTGTTCAGATCTTTTGCCCTTTTTTTTTTACTTTGTAGCTTTCCTTTATTAAACTGTTTAAAATTGAGGTCATAATAGTTTATAACATTGTGAAATTTCAGTTGTACGTTATTATTTGTCAGACACCATATAGATGTGCCCCTTTACCCCTTATGCCCACCCCCCAAACCCCTTCCCATCTGGTAACCACTAATCTGTTCTCTTTGTCCATGTGTTTATTTATCTTCCACATATGAATGAAATCACGTGGTGTTTGTCTTTCTCTGTCTGGCTTATTTTGCTTAACATGATACTCTCGAGGTCCATCCATGTTGTTGCAAATGGAATGATTTCATCTTTTTTATGGCTGAGTAGTATTCCATTGTATGTATATACTACATCTTCTTTATCCAATCATCAGTCAATGGGCACTTGGGTTGCGTCCAAGTCTTGGCTATTGCGACTAATGCTGCAGTGAACATAGGGGTCCCTAAGTCTCTTTGAATTGTTGATTTCAAGTTCTTTGGATAAATACCCAGTAGTGGGATAGCTGGGTCATTTGGTATTTCTATTTTCAGTTTTTTGAGAAATCTCCATACTGTTTTCATAGTGGCTGCACCAGTTTGCATTCCCACCAGCAGTGTATGAGGGTTCCATTTTCTCCACATCCTCCCCAAAATTTGTTATTTTTTGTCTTGGTAATTATAGCCATTCTAACAAGTGTAAGGTGATATGTCATTGTAGTTTTGATTTGCATTTCCCTGATGATTAGTGATATTGAACATCTTTTCATGTACCTGTGGGCCATCTGTATATCTTCTTTGGAAAAATGTCTGTTCATATCCTCTGCCCATTTTTTGATCGGGTTGCTTGTTTTTTTTTGTTGTTGAGTTATATGAGTTCTTTATATATTTTGGTGATTAACTCCTTGTTGGATATATGATTTGCAAATATTTTCTCCCAGCTGGAATATTGTCTTTCAGTTTTGTTCCTGGTTTCCTTTGCCTTGCAGAAGCTCTTTAGTTTAATGAAGTCCCATTTATTTTTTTCTTTTGTTTCCCTTGTCCAAGTAGACATAGTATTTGAAAAGATGCTTCTAAGACCAATGTCAAAGAGTGGATAGCCTATATTTTCTTCCAGGAGTTTTATGATTTCACATCTTACCTTCAAGTCTTTAATTCATTTTGAGTTAATTTTTGTGTATGGTGGAAGATAACGGTCTACTTTCACTCTTTTGCATGTGGCTGTCCAGTTT